TATTTATCGGCCGATACCGATATGGTGGCCGATATATCGTGCATCCCTATTTATAAATAAATTAAATTAATATATTTAATTTTAAATTATAATTATAAATATTTTAGTGTAATATTCAAAATAAAAAGTACAATAAAAATAATTTATTATATTATTATTTATGTGTATATTATAATTGACTTAATATTATATCACTTATCAACTAATAAAATAAATAATATATATATATATATATAAATTAATTAAAATCTTATAATTTGAAAAAATATGAAATAGATTGATTGGGTATTTTGTGTATGTATTTGAACTCTTCCTAGGTGCCACCAGTGTGCGAGCGTGTGTGCGGTGTGTCATCACGTGGTCAAAGGCTTGTTTGTGTGGTGTCAGGGCTGCAGTCACGGAGGACACCTGGAGCATGTGATGGAGTGGCTGAAACAGTCCAAACACTGTCCGGCCGGCTGCGGACACCTGTGTGAATACACCTGACACACACACACTCGGCTGCTACGTATGAGGAAAAATATGTATCACTAATGATTAGATGATAATCAAACACAAAGGGAATCTGGACACAATCAAATGTGTGCTAAAAACAATCAGCCAACTCTTTTTTTTTTTTTTTTAGTTTTTGAAGATTTAGTTTTATAAATACAGTCTCATGTACATAAGAGATGCACCTGCTTTGGGAATGTGATTCATTCACCTTGAAAATATTCTTGAAAATTGTGTAAATGAAGAACACATTGCATTTAAATCAGATTTATTTAAAAAGAAACACTGGTGTTTGCCAATAAAGCCAGTCTTTACTAATCATCTCTGAGGGTTTGTATACACCAAGACACAAAAACATATTAAAAGTTACTTTTTGGGGGGCAGAATGTGATCTAAATGTAAGCCGATTATATAAAACAATAATTTTTTTGTTGTTGTTTTTTAGTTACATAATATCAAACCAAGTGTCATTTACCAGTATTATAAAAAGATAAATGCAAGCATTTTTCAAAATATTTGACAAAAGCTAATATCGAAAGATGATGTTGATCGTTAATGTGATTCTCTGCACCTGTGTGAACTTGATGAGAACTGAGTGAAAAATCACCAGCTGAACAAAAGTCATCGCTAAACTTATGCCATCTTTTTGTAGATGCCATGTATTTCCATATTTTGCTAATTCATACTGTATGTAATGAAAGTACGGATGTTTTAAAATGTGTCTCAAGTGTCTACCGGTAAATACTTTTGGAGCTACAAGACTATCTCTGCGTTTTCCGCCTCAGGTAAGTGTCTTTCTGTATTCTTCCAAAAGTTTTTTTTTTTTTTTTACTTTAAAATATTTTTAACATCATTCTGATGGTACACTTATACGTCGAATGGCTTCTGTTTATTTCCCGTGCTCCCTTCAAAACATCTGTTTCGTGAGCAGGTATTTCTTCGAATGCGACCTCCGGAGGGCCTAGCCTTCTAAATGACACACTGCTTGTAATTATGACATATATTTAGACAGTGGATTCAAAAAACTAAAAAACAAAACTACATACATTTGCTTTAAATGCTTTATTTCCAGAAGACTCGATTCTTGTACCTTTATGTGACAATTACAATAAAGACTTTGTTTTCATAATTGACAGACAAGCTGATTAACATAAAAAAATATTTTAAAATTGATAGAGTAAAAACAACAACGACAAACATTTAAAAACAATAAACTGACAGTAGCTCCAACAATATGACCATAAACCTGGACATGAAATGGGTCTTAATCATGAAACACCAGCAGAATTCATTTCTGTCATTTTTTTTCATCGGATTGAACTAAATATGTAAAAAATGTTCTAATTTGTTACCGAATATCTTGAATTGTCATGTAGAAGTAGCAATAATAATAATATACTATTGTTTTTGTTTTTTGCATATATGCTCAGCTTTGGCCGTTCTGTTTTACTTACGGTCATACCAATAAAGCTATTTGAGTGAACTGAACTGAATATGGCAGTTTGCATAACAGCGGTTTGACAAATGAATGTGTATTTATTATATACGCAGTATTTAAGAAAAGATGATTAGACTAACAATTGAGAGTAAAGATCATCCGAGGTTTGATTTATGCAAGAAACTGCTTCATTATTCAGGCTTATTTTAAATCTCATCTAATAAGAGGTTTGATTCGTTGTACAACAATAAACAGTATTTGTGCTCGCAGTATCCACATGCATTTCTGTGTGCACTGAATTCCTGACAGGAAGTTCAAATCCTCTGGCTCCGCCCTGTCTGACACAGCTCTGTCTGTGATTGGTCAGTTCTCATGATGAATGTACCATGTAACTGGAGCACATGCGAGAGATGCTCTTCGCCGGCTTGTTATTTTTGGCCGCCTGCCGTCGTCTTGGTCCTCGTTCGGCCCGTCATCTCCATCTGAACTCGTGTGGTACTGAAGCGGCGCGGCTCATCTCTGTCTGTTCAGGGTGGTTTTTCACCCTCCGTCGGTAAAAGCGAGTGTCCTACAAGGAGAAACACATCAGTTAGACAGTCATTAAGATAGAAATCTTGCAAAATGCAAGTTTCAAACATTTTATTTTAACACACACACTACTTTTCAAACATATGGGGTTGTAAGATTTTTAAAAATGTTTTTAAAGAAGTATTTTCCACTCACCAAGGCTGCATTTATTTGATCAAAAATACACTACAAATAGTAATATTGTGAAATATTTTTTACATTTAAAATGACAGTAATATATTTAAAAATGTAATTTATTCCTGTGATGCGCAGCTGTATTTTCAGCATCAACACTCCAGTCTTCAGTGTCACACGATCCTTCAGAACTCATTCTAATATGCTGATTGGCTGCTCAAGAAACATTTCTTCTTATTATCAATGTTGAAAACAGTTGTGCTGCTTCATATTTTTGTGGAAACCGTGATTTTTGATTTCATATAAATGATGTTCAACCAACCCATTCACAGCCGCTAGGATTCTTCCCAGTTGTGTGAGCGTTTCTCTGAAGCGCTGAGATGCTGGAGACTGTGAAGGACTTCCTTCAGACCGTCAGCTGGACAGAGAAACACGATATTAATTCACACGTCCACGTGAAGGAAACATTATACATGCACAGAAACAGAAGTCTTACCGAGCTCCGCCATATGAGACTCCATGTTAGACAGCAGCTGAGAGCACATCAAGCCGTCACCTACCACAGACACATCAGAGCGCTTATCAGTACAACTGAGGTCTGAGGTCATTCAAACCTCAACAGAAAAACTGATTTATAGTGTGAATGACATCTTTCAAGATGGTCCAAACATAAGATGCATAGAGCTAGTGATAATATTATGCTTCTGTGGTTTGTCTTGTGCACTTTTTTTTTTTTTGGCAAGCAAAACCAGCAATAATTTTGTTTTCAACATTTTTTGATTCTCAATATAATTAATATAATTTTTTTTATAGAAAAACTTTTCATACTGCAGAAATAAAAGTAAAATAGTGTCAAATAGTGATAAATAAAATGGTGAATAAATTAAATTGTATAAATTAAAAAAATATTCATGAAAATACATTTTAATAAAATTTTAATAATACTGTTAAATAGTGATTTAGTGATCATGATAAAAAAAAAATATTAAAATAAAAATATAATTTTATTAAAACATTTTAATAAACATTTTTAATTGCATTTTTGAATGCATAGTAAAGACACCGACACAAAACGTTCATACTGTAGGAACCACAAGTTGGTGTGAGCTCCACTACAATTTGTTTTTTTTGAAGAAAGTTTGCCAGTGCAAAACATGCTTAGGGTGCTGGAGAGTTGATGTATGGTTGCTAAGGTGTTCTGATTGGTTGCTAGGTGGTTGTTAGGGTCTTCTGGGTGGCAGAAGAACCTAACAACCCTAACCTGACAGTAGTAGTGTTTTCTTAAAACACATTAAAAGACACTTTTAATACAGCACTTTTAATGATGCTGGTTATACTGCATTATTCGCAATGCATTCTGGGAATTAGTTATTGAATTCCCCTTTTCTGATTTTCTGCAAATAAAAGCATGGGCAGGTTCAGCACACCTCGAGCGTCCTCCTGCGTGAGAGTGCTGCGTAAAGCGTGTAGTTTCCCGCTCAGCGTCTGAATGCGTTTGCTGTTCTCCTGCAGCTCCGCCTGAACGCTCTTCCACGCCATCTTCTCCTCCATCAGACATCCCTCCATCACGGCACGCAGCTCCTTCTCCTGGGTCACCTGACCCTGCAGAGACTCAACCTCCACACAACGCTACACACACACAAAGAAAAGCTTAAAGGTGCAGTATGTAATATTGACAGCTAGTGGTTGAAATGGGTAATGCAGTCCGAATTCAAAATATCGAAGAAAGTTGTTTCTCCTTCTCCACCTCTCCTCCTCAGACTCAGAGCTCAGGCGGGTAGCCAGATTGAGGACACAGAACAGGAACGAGTGAAATTGACAATGGAAGGCAACGAGCCTTACACAGTAAGTTGTTGAGTTGACGTATCTGCGTTTTAATAAGTCTCTGGTCATAGAGCTTTTTAGATGGATGCCAGTTTTTTTTTAGGTGGGGTAGAATCTGTGACCTCTGACCCAGTTTGTCTGCTGGCTTCCATGGCTGGAGTAGAGTGTTTTCCACCAACTGGCAACCCGGGCTGTTGAAATTCTATTGGGTAAATTGTCCAAAACAAAAACAGACATTCCGACACGGAACGCATATTTCTAAGTAGAATTACTGGCTGTTGCTAGTATTGTTTTTGGAGAAACAAGTATGCAAATGGAGCATGTTTCCTAAATATCTGCAAAGGTATTATCTTTTTATGCTTTATTACAGTCAAAAAAGTACATACAGCACCTTTAAGAGAACCACACAATAACTACAGCAAGCTTGCAGTTATGATGTGGTAAATTTATGACAATGTTGTTGCCAGAACTGTGCTGTTTTTACAACATCAGTTTTATGCATGGCAACCCTTGAGCTCAACTTATTTTGATAGACTGATTTTATAGCATGTTGTTCATTTTATTGTGACCTATTACACAACCAAGTGGATATAAAGTCCAGTAATGCTCTGAGATTTTATACATTTAAATGCAAAAAGGTAAAACCTGGTTATATAGCAAAAACTCTACCGGTTCACTTTTAAAAATATAAAAACATTTAAAACATTATTTTGTGAAATAGGTCAGTCTTGTCTCTTCGTGTACATTTACATTTTTAAATTCAGTGTTGATGTTACAGTTCACACTTAATCACAAACTAGGTGCTAATTACATGGCAGTTCTCTTCCCTGACTTTAGCTACAGTCCTACAATCCTCCTCGCATGCAAATGAGCTTTATGAGGTGAAGATGGTGTGAATGGAAGTCATGCAGTCCGCACCTTATGAAGCTGAATGGCCATTTCCTGCATCTCGGCCTCCAGTTGGTCCGCATACGCCTGCTCTAACGCATCACTGGGTGGCCGTGCATTACTGTGCCAACGGGCTATTGCTGATGTCATCTTCCTCTTGGGACCAAACAGACTATAGAGTGAAAAGCACAAAAAACTATTTAAATAAAGTGATGCAATTGTAAAAATAATTAAAATAAACATTGTATCAATAACAATATAATACATAAAATATTTAATGGGATTAAAAATTCATTTTAATAAACAAAAAAGTACAATTTAAAGTGATAAATAAAATATAAAAAAAATAACAACAGTAAAAACACTGTATAAATGAAATGCAATAAATAATTAATAAACAATAAAATATATATTTATAAAAAATAAAAATAACTGAACAGTGATAATCAAATGGTAAAAAATTAAATACTGTATAAAAAAAATTAAGTAATAATGAAATAACAAAAATTTGTGATAATTAAT